CGGCCTTTGCTCCAAGCGGGTGGGGGCGGCTGCCCCTGGGTCTCCGCCGCCGCCGGGCCCGGGAAGCCCGGCATGACTCAGGGGAGAATTGCAGAGCCAGAGGAAGAGGAGCGCAGGTGAGGGGCCAGGGGGAGAGAAGAAGGAAGGATTGGGAAACTATACCGCCTGACCCTGGTTACTAGTCCTGCTACCGTGAACTTAACTTCCACGAACCCGTTTCCTCGTCTGTAAAATGGGGATAATGATGGTATTTGCCCCTTAGGGGAGTTGTGAGGATGAAATGAGGTCATTGGTGCCCTAGCGTGTAAATTTACCTGACTCCAGGTAAAAGATGTTTAAATGTTAGCTATTATTGGTATACGTATTTATTTTGTATATTGAAGGGGTTCATGAGAGGCTTCCCCAAGATATGTCACTTTGGCACGTGAATTATTTTGAACCAAAGGCTAGAGACCCTGTGGGTTCAAGAGAAACTTTTACCTCTCCCTTAAAAATTTTAAATTAGGGGTCTTACCCGTAATAAGAGTCATCACCAGAAAAATATTTTTTAGGACCAATGTATAGGGCAGTGCAAACTTCTGATTACTGAACACCTGCTGTTCTTATGTCCTTTGAATGACCTTTCTCTCCTCTGAGGCCCCAAGGTACCCTAGCCTCATCCTTAGCTCAGAATGTAACTTATACTTCATTTTAACTTTCTGTCTCTGACCTTATCTGTGTGGGGTTCCCATATGTACATATGCAATTAAATTTAGTTATTTTCCCTTGTTAATCTCTCATGTTGATTTCATTATTAGGCCAGCTGGAAGAATCTAGAAGGGGAGAGCAGTTTCTTTCTCCCCTGTTATTGAGATACAGATCTAGACTCCTGCTCCTTTAGCTCCATTGGACCTGATACTGCGAAGGCTCAGCCCTTCAAACACGGGAGGCTTCTTCAATGAGTAGACGATTTCAGCTACTTTGCAAATCAGGTTCACTCCCTGAAGGTGGCCCTGTAGGAACAGAGCTGGTCACAGGCCAGGAACCCTGACCCCAGCCTCCCAGCGGGATCAGTGCGTTCCCAGTGGAGACTCTGCCCTGTGTCTTCCTGCTGCAGCTGTCACTCGCTCAAAGTCCACGCTGGAGCTCTGGGGAGTTGTTCTGAGGGATCAGTTAGCACAGCCGCAGCAGCTGCTGGGTGAGGGTGCCCTGGGGCCAGAGAGAGAGGGTCCCAGGGTTTTCTGGCTCAGACTCTGGCATAGGAATATGCTTCTAATAAACACACCACCCCTTCCTGCCGCACACCTGCTCTCGAAGCTAGGAAGTCTGCATAGATGGGAGGTGGTGACCATTGTAAAGTTTAAGGATTCCAGCCAGGCCAAGCACCGTGTTTCAGATCTCTTACGTACTCTTTGTTTTTTACTCTACGCAATAATTTTACTACATAGTCCTGTTGGTATCCACATGTTACAGATGCGAGGATTGTGGTTTCCCCTTCGGCGGGGGTGGAGGGGGGCACTCCCCATGATGGGGGTACTTTGCTTTACCTTTGATTTGTGAACTGATTTACCTTAGACTGTCCCCACCCCCTTCATTCCTGGGAGCTCTGGGATGGAACCTTTTCTTTGTGTCAGTCTCTCCCATGGCTGGTGACAGAAGCAGTGAGTGTTCTTGAATGGAGGCTGTGTTCTCCAAAGCTTGGTAGAGATCTTTATCTCTGGGCGTTCAGGCCTCAGGGCCCTGGCCCTCTCCGAGTAAGATCCATGTGTCACCTGGGCTGGCAGCCGCAGCCTCCTCTGTTTCATTTAATTCTCACACTAACCGAGTTTATTGCTAACCGCACTGTGCAGGCGAGGACCCTCTGCAGAGCATGAGCTGAAGAAAGCCACTGTCTGACAGAGGCAGGATTCAAACCTGGTCTGCCTGATCTCCCTCCCTCTGTGCTGGGGGCAGGGGTCCAAAACTCTCGCCCCGCACGGCCCAGATCCAGCCTGCTGTCTGTTTTTGTACAGCCCAAGAGCTAAGACTGGTTTCACATTGTTAAATGGTTGAAAAGAGGTTAAAAGAGGAATATCATGTGACGTGTGAAAATTATATGAAATTCATACTTTGGCACTTGAAGTTTTATTGGAACACAGGCACGCTCATTCGTTCGCCTGTGGCCTGTGGCTGTTCTCTCGTTATAACAGTGGAGTTGAGCAGTTGCAACCGAGACCATAGGGCCAGCAAAGCCGAAAATATTTCCTCTCTGGCCCTTTACAGAAAAAGTTTGCGGACCCTGGTTGGGGCGGGGGGGTCCTCTGGAAGTTCGGGTTTGGCTTTCAGAGTTGAGAGTGGAAGGAGAGGAAGATGAGGAGTTCGGAGGCGGAATGGGCTGGGCTGGGCTGGGTTGGGCTGGGCTGGGGTAGACTGGCTTAGGTCAGACGTCCCCGTATGTGCGAGAAGTCAGTAGCTGGATCCTTTCTCTAGTGGGTTTTCCTCTAAGCCTGTCACCTGCCCCCTACAGCCCCCATTTCTGGGCATGGCTCTTTAAAGGAATCACAACTATTGTCTCTGACCAAAGCTGTTTCCTTCTTCACTCCAGTGGGTGGCCAGCATCGACGTGGTGGAGAATGAAGAGGCCAGCGCGAGTGTCGTCGTTAGAATGACAGACTCGTTTACTGAGCAAGCTGACCAGGTAATTCCAGAAAAGGCCCCCCCCAAGCCTGTGTGGGGGGAGCCCTGGGAATAGGTCTCCACTGGCCATGTGTTCTTCCCTTTTTCGAGTATTATTTCTCTAATTACGAAAGCCATGTGTACCCATTGAGGGAAATTTGGAAAAAGTGGAAAAAAATATAATGAAGATATATTACCCATAATTTGTGTCTAGCTAGCTGAATATTCACATTTTGGCCGATTTTCTTGTCTTTCCTATGGATCCTATTAGCGTTACAGGTTGAAATCATCTTGTGTTTTATATTTTATGATCAGCTTTTAACATTTTTAAATAAAATTTTATTTAATTTCAGTACTTCTTCAATCTCTTAAAAATAAAAACCCTCTGTGTCAACATGTAATTTTTTTATATTGTGGATTGGCCACCATTTTCTTAGTTTCCACATGTACATTTAACTTTTTTGCAATTTTTTACTTTTACCATTAATAAGTGGCGAACGTCCTTGTCCCCATCTCTGATTATTTATTTAGGGTGCATTCTAAAAAAGTGAGGATCCTAGCTCAAAGCAAGAATACCGATGAAGCAGGTTATTTTGAATTATAAAATGATGTGCTTATCATAACACAAGAAATCAAACAAAAACCTGTAAATATTTCAGTCACTGGTGCACTCCCCCTGTGACCCCGAGACAGTGTCCCTCCCCAGCAGGAAGCTCTCTCAGCAGCTCGATGGATGTGTAGGTATCAGTAGCTGAGATGCTCGTAAGTGGCTCCCACAGACTGCCCGAAGGACGTGCTTTCTGGGTTCCTGGCGCCAGCGCTCCAGCCCACATCCCCCAGGAAATGACATCCTTCTTCGTGCGATGGGCTGTGTTTACACAGGCACCCTGTGAGGCAGGCGGCAGGGGGTGGCAGCCCCCTTTACAGCCAAGGGACTGAGTTTCAGATACATAAGCTATTTGGTGACGGAGGAGCATGAATCGCCGAACAAGAGACTTGTTAACAACTCATGAACAACTTGAATAAGTCCAGGCTCTATTTTTTGTTTAGTTGCACTCTCCCGAGTAATCTAAACATGGTTGGGGGCCCAAGGTTTTGTGGTCCTTAGCCATTTTTTATAACACATTTAAAAATGTTACAAGTGATGTAGGTATGATGTAGGAAATAGAGTAAAATAAAAAGAAGGGAGAAATCGTGTCTAGTCCCATTATACAGTTAATGTGTTGTGAGATTTCCTTTCAGTCCATTGCTCCAGACATGCACATGTATAAATTTAAAATAAAACCCATGAGCATACTGTCCTGCTCACTTCGTCTTTCTAAAGCATGAGTTTGACATAGGCTAGAACAGTGGTTGGCAAACTCATTAGTCAACAGAGCCAAATATCAACAGTACAACGATTGAAATTTCTTTTGAGAGCCAAGTTTTTTAAACTTAAACTATATAGGTAGGTACATTGTTATTAACTTAATTAGGGTACTCCTAAGGCTTAGGAAGAGCCACACTCAAGGGGCCAAAGAGCCGCATGTGGCTCGCGAGCCGCAGTTTGCCGACCATGGGGCTAGAATATAAAAAGCCAGCTGCCTTATTCCAGAAGGTAGATTTTTGTTGCTCTTACTTTTCTCTTTTTAGAATATGTTTTTATTTTATTTGATTGATTTTAGACAAAGAGGAAGGGGGAGGGAGAAACATCGATGTGAGAGAGGAACATTGATCGGTTGCCTCCTCTATGCAGGGATTGAACACACAACCTGGGTGTGTGCCCTGACCGGGAATTTAACCAGTGACCTTTAGGTGCCTGGGACAGCACTCAACCGACTGAGCCACACGGGCCACGGCCTCTGTTCTTACTTTCCATAACCTGGTCCCGATGTTTCCTGCACTATTGGCTTTAATGGACATGGCATTGTTGTGTCAGGCATCATTCTAAGTGCTTTATTCACATTAACTTGCTGAATGTCTGTAACCCCTCAGAACAAAGTTTCTAATTTATCTTCCTTTTAGGGATGGGGAGTCTGAGGCACAGAGAGGTCCTGGGATTTGCTCGGGTCAAACAGGTGGGAGGTGGCACAGCCAGGATTTGAACCGGGCAGTGGGGTTGGATGCCTGCTCTCCTAACTGCATGCTAAGCTGCCTTGCAGCAAAGCAGCTCCATGCGAATAAAGTAACCAAAGCTGGACTTAAGTGCAGGGGAGCCCTGGGCTCTGAGAGCCGCTGGCAGAGTGGTTCCTGCAGTCGGTGTCTCCTCTGCTCTTGTTAGTTGCGGGTGCTGATGTCTATGTGCTTTTTGAATGTGAAGTTGCTTGTATCTGAGACTTGATTATACAGAACTTTTAAACTCTTTAACTTCTCGCCCCTCCCCGCCCCTCAGTTAGGAATTTTCTGGACAATAGCACAACATCCAGTTTTTGTTTGTGAAGCTCTAGAAGAGGAAATTCAACCCTAATACGTATAAAATTGGCCCCCTGGGCAGCAGTTCACTAGTGACAGTGAAGAGATGCAGAAGCCAGGAAGGCATGACATTTATTTATAGAAAACTATTGGGCAGAAAGCAACATTTAAGGGGGAGGAATTAAGAAATGCCTAGATGTAAAAAATAAAAAAAGTCCAACAGTTGCATTGTTGCTGTGGGCTCCGTGCTTTCCTAAAAAGTAGAGCAGATGTCAGGGGAGGTGATCCAACTTCCGGCCCCTGGGCTCTGGGCTCTGGGCTCTTGGCAACAGGACAAGGCTTAAGAATGGAGGGAGGGCCCAGCCGGTGTTGCTCACTGGTTGAGCATTGACCAATGAACATGGAGGTCACGGTTTGATTCCTGGTCAGGGCACATGCTGGGGTTGTGGGCTCGATCACCAGTGGGGGGCGTGCAGGAGGCAGCAGATCAATGATTCTCTCTCATCATTGATGTTTCTATTTCCCTTCCTCTCTGAAATCAACAAAAATTAAAAAGAAGATTCTAGATTGCTTTATAAAAAGCACATTGAAATGTGGGTGGGTTTTACTAACCCAAATGGTCATCGTAGGTTTGTCCTACATTTAGTTTTCAAAGTGTTCCTTGCCAGGTGCTGTTACCCGTCTTCAGAGAAAGTGGAAAATAAACTGAAGTGTCTGAAGGCGTCAGCCTGTTAAGGTTTCCCCGGCGATTTACGCCTCTTTTCGTCCTTTTCGGTTCAGGTGACTGCTGATGTCGGGAAGCTCCTGGGTGAAGAGAAGGTGGACGCCATCCTTTGTGTGGCTGGAGGCTGGGCCGGGGGCAATGCCAAGTCCAAGTGTGAGTCCTTTTCTGAGTTGATCATTCACTCCGCTCTGCTCTTTGTCCGGGGGGCGGGGACTGGGTCGGTTCTGTGTGCCAGGCCAGATGTTTTCCTGCGTGTCTCCCAGACGCTGTAGAGTAGCTCTGTGAGGTAGGGACGACCACCCCCTTTCACAGCTGGAGAAGCAACTCCCCATCAACAGGGTTAGGGGAGGGGACATTGAGCTGGAGGTGTAAAGGCAGGATGAAATCAGCATTGTTCCCGCCCTAATCTCACAGGGCTTATTCCTGGGGATCGGGGGATGTGTATGACATGGAGAGATCGTTCCGCAGGTCAGAAGGATTCAACATTGAGCTTGTATCAATGCCGAGTACATCTTCCAACTTATTTTTTTAAGTTTATTGATTTTTTACAGAGAAGAAGGGAGAGGGATAGAGAGTTAGAAACATCGATGAGAGGGAAACATCGATCAGCTGCCTCCTGCACACCCCCTACTGGGGATGTGCCCGCAACCAAGGTACATGCCTTTGACTGGAATTGAACCTGGGACCTTTCAGTCCGCAGGCCAACGTTCTCTCCACTGAGCCAAACCGGTCAGGGCCATTTTCCAACTTTTTATTATGAACATTTGCAAACACACGGAAAAGCTGGAAGATGAGTTCAGGGAGCACCCGCCCCCTCCGTCTGGATTCGGTAACTGCTGACATTGCTGTCCTTGCTCCCTGGCTCTCCGCAGGGGTGCTGTGTGTGGGCATTTTTTTGTTAACCACTTGCTGCGAGTAAATGAACACTTTGCTCATTTCAGCATGCATCCCCAAAGAATATGCTCATTTTCCTACATCATCATAATACTGCTATCATAGCTAAGGAAAGTAATAGTCATTCTGTAAGATTAATAATATTCAACCGCATTCAAATTCCCCAATTTATTCCAGAGCTTTTAGAGTTTTTTCCCCCCTAAGCATCAGGGTTTATGCCTCCTTTTGTTGTTGTTTTTAGTCTCTTAATGTAGAATTTTTTCCCCCCGGTGATAGACTTGGTGAGGCAGGGCAGTTTTCATATGAATGTATCTCACTGTTTCTCTAAGGCAGTGGTTCTCAACCTTCCTAATGCCACGACCCTTTAATACAGTTCCTCATGTTGTGGTGACCCCCAATTACAAA